ACACTGGGTTGCCAAGAATTTGGAATTTTGCAAGAAAAAATCCAGAATTGTGAACACATGAGTTTATTTACCTACTCCTTTTAAAACAAGTTTGTGCTGCACGGAAGTTCTACAAAAATTATTTTTATTTGAGAAAAATGCAATTAGCATTGTTTCTCGAACAACATAACTTTTCGTGGAAAAGTCCGATCATCACAAATTTACCTCAGAAGGGGAAGACCCGAAGTCGAAAGGCTTTCAAAGTGAAGTAGATATCATCTTGAACAGCATCAAACGCTAATTCCAAAACTGTCTTTGTTATCTGCCAAGCGCTTCTAGACGCTGAGTTATGAGCTTTCTCGGCTCAAAAAATTGAACGCGCAACTGGAACAAATTCGTCCAAGATTGCTCAAAAGGATATCCGAGCACTTCATGCATGGGAAACCTTTTCTCTAATCGTTATAACCACTTTATTATGTGACCGCTGAAAAGACCATAACCACTGATTTTATTTGCTATTCGCTCCAAAAGATACTCACAACTCAGCGTCTAAAAGCGCGTGCCAAAACAAAGACAATTTTAAGAGCATTATTTCATTTGAAAAGCCGCTTTCTACTTTGAGTTCCTCTTTGGTCAGTTGAAAGGAAATGTATCTAACTTATGTTAACGGACGGACTTTTTCGCAACGTTCTTTTTTCTGACGACCTGAATCAAAATCACCGAAACTTGAGTAATCTCGTTCTTCTGCTCCTACCGCTGTAACTATTCAACGGTATAGATCTGCCAAAGCACAAAACTATATATTTACTTTTTCTTGCAAACTCTAATTGAAGAAATCATGTGATACGAAGATGTGACGAATTTTGGAGTAGGAAGGATAGAAACAACAACTTTTCACAATATTCCTACAATAAATATATTCAGAGCACAAGGCTGAAGGAGCAATGCCTCCTTACAACATGGCCAACCGTTCCGCCAACATGTCTTCTAATTACCACCTCTAAGGCAATTACTGTTCGGCCTTGGTACACATCAATGCTACACAACGGCACAGAGGCAGCAACAAGTGGGTTGTTTCAAAAAATGCTGGGGAAATGCTTTATAAGAAAGCTGTAAACGAGATTCTCCGCCCGCAACGAGTGTAAGTTCTTGATAACAACAAGAACGGAACGAAAAGTGTAGAAGTCAAAGTCATGTAAAAGGTGTCTCATCACAACACTGTGCGATAAACTGATAACACAGTTTCCGACGGTACGGAGTTGAGCAAAATGCACGTTTTCATCCTACTTGCATGAGTTTTTGATAGGAAAAGAGTCACATAGGACAGAAAAAAAGAGATAACGCTAAATCAACAATTTCCATGGTTCTTTGAATTCACTATGCAAACATGGAGAGGACTCAGCAGTAGTAAGAGGTTTGATAATACAAAATGTGATTTCTGCGATTCTTGTGGTAACGATTTCTTCAGTATAGAATGCATGACTCCAAGAGGTATGGAATGCTTACCACTATTTCCCTTTTCTTTCTCAACGTAATTGAACACTTGTTAGCTGTAAGCAGAGAGAAGATGCATAAACTGTTGATTCCAGTGCGGTTAAGAGTATCATTATTATTGAGAAGGTGGTAGTTTTCGCGCTCCAGAACAAAGAAGTCACAAGAATCGCTGAAATTGCATGAGTCGCGCGTACCGACCATTCATAGCATGCAAAGACTACGGAAGTATCGTCGTCTCTCTGATCGAGCACTATTTCTTTTCTTTTACCATTTGCTGTCCCTCTCATACACGAACTATCTTGGTCGGACGCAATGGCGCCCAGTCTTTGCCTTTCATGAATCGCCTATACCACAGTAATCACAAAGATCATGGAATCAAAGAAATCACAGAAATAGGAGGAAAAACTCAAACAAGTTCACCAGTGGCGTACCCAGGATTTCGGCTCGGGGGGGGGGGGGTGCGACAAAAAAATTTTTAATGAAGGTGCGTGGCGTCAGCCACGCACTCCGAAAATTTTTTTGGATTGTTTCCCAAAATTTTTCCGGGCCCCTCACCCCAAAATTTCAGGAAAAGGGGGCGTGGCGCCAGCCACGCCAACGAAAAAAATTTTTTTACAAGGCTAATTTGAATTTTTAAAAATTTTTAAAAACTATTTTAATTATTTAGAAGTATAAACAAGTCATTTGCACATTTTTATAATCCTTATAAGTCACTTTCAAAAATTTCGCGACTCATTCTCGGGGGGGGGGGCACCCCCCCCCCCTCGGTACGCCACTGAAGTTCACCGATAACAAAATCCATAGGCCTAAAGCATACCTCACTCGATTCGGCCGAACTGCCACTTTCACGCGACTTGGCGATTTGCCAGATTTCTACAAATTTATCGTGCGCGCTTCTCGGACGCATATTTGGGTAGCTTGTATAAGCTGTTGCAAACGGAGCAAGTTCCGACCAAAGGCAGTGCATTAACGACGAATTACGAAGAGTTGCTGTTGCGCCGAATCGTGCGAGGTATGTCTTAGGCCATAGGCACTTTTTTCGGAGGCGCTGTTCATTTCCACAAACAAGATAATTGAAGAGTTCATTTATCTGTAGCAACAAGGCAATAGAAAAAAAAAGACTCAAGATATCGTACAATCAGCTGACCTCACTTTAAAGCAGCGTCCAGGCAGATCTGGACCTATGGGGCTTTCACGTGGAAAATACTTTTGGGGCCCTAACTAAGGCACTGCCCAAGCGGCAGCTCAGTTAGTGCTGTAATGGCTGAGAAATTCCTCTCGAAACTGGACCCCGCGACCGTGTTTCGCATGGATTCATGGCGCAAAGCGTTGATCCTGGCGCGAAACTGCCATGAATCCATGCGAATACGTTCGCGGGGGCCAGTTTCGAGGGGAATATCTCAGCCATAGAGCACTACCTGAGCTGCCGCTTGGGCAGTGCCATATTAGGGCCCCAAAAGTACTTTCCACGTAAAAGCCCCATAGGTCCAGATCTGCCTGGACGCTGCCTTTAAGCACAAAACGTTCTAACAAACACAAACTCTTATCTGCACACTTCATTTTACACGCATTATCAACAGAAACTAGGGAGATAAACAGTGAATTAGCACTCCCGAAAATTATATGATAAATTCGTAACGCTTCTTCAACAGACATGTTATTAGTTATAGATCTTTGCGTAAGAGTACTAGGAGGTAGTTTGCAAAGCAACATTTGCTGGAGGCAAAATATGTCATCAAAATCTTCTAGCGCAGAAGCAAAGTGCACTTCTCATACATCAAGTTGGAAAGATCTATGATATAGCGATAACTGCACGAGGTAAAAATATTGGAGACTGCAAACTCAGTGATGCTGATACAAGCGTCGAGCGTACTATTGTTGATAATCAAATGAAAAGTTTCACCGAGTCAGTTTTGGCAAGCAGGTAGACTAGCCCCCCAAAAAAAAAACACCGCTCAATCCATTCACAGAGAAGGGGTAAGAAGACTATTTCTGATCCTGAATTTTATGAATCCGAAATTGTTCTTGTTATCACATGTGAAGATGAAACGGAGGGCAAGTGTTAGGCGGCGATAAAACGTGACGCAAGCAATGTAAAGCTCGTGAGTTAAAACTACGCGCAATTTTTTCAATGCCGATGAGTAATGTATCGGCCCCATCTTCATCCCCCCCACTCCACCTGTTTTTGCCGCCGGAGACGTTTTGCACGTGGTCTTTTAGTCTAAAAGATTGGGTTTGTCGCCTGTCGCCCTACACGCAGACGTAACAATGCTTTGAGCAATTCTGAAGTGAATGGCGCTGCTAAGTGGGCGAGCGATGTGATGCGCGGTAAGCTGCTATTCAGATGATTATTAAAGTGATATTTCCCACCCGCACAGCAGTGATTATTTGCCAAAACAGAACATCAACACAGCTCTCATGCACTAAAAAAGGCGTTTAAGAGGCAGGCACTAGACTTATTCGCTTAGCCGCTTCATCTTCTCCGCTATTCGGTCAGAACACTAACTTGGCCAATCAGCGAAGTGGGTGAAGCTGCTAAGCGGCTCAAGGTTTTTCCCAACAAAGAACCTTCCAAGATAAAAACATGGTCAAACAACGTCTTTCAAAATGAACTATCAATAGGACGAAAGCAGAAAATCAAGTCCGAAACAATCCAAATTACGGTAGAGCTAGTTTTTAAAAAGATGATCCACAATGAACGAAAGCAAATCGAGTGAAGTGGGTGAAGAATAAGCGGAACCAAGCCTTCATTTAGAACTGAAAAAAGAGTAGAAGGTTGAGGGTATGGCAATTGGTCAATGAAGTGCAGCTTGTCTTTCAAACAGTGGAGGAGGATTCAATAAAAAATTTTCGACGGATATGGAAGGTATGAGGAAACTAAACATGCAACTAGAAATACTGTCTGCCGTTCATCAAAACCTGTACAGCTTCAAGAAATCATTACACAAAATCTCAAGGGTAAAGCCGGTTCCACCCACCGCATCTCTCGAGCGTGCTCATATGCTAATTAAAATGCCTGGAGAAGTGTAAATGGGTACCAAATTGCTAGGAAAAGATAAAGAAAGGAAAGGAATGGTCTGAATGCAAAAAGCAGGATATCATCTCTTTATTTTTTGTTCCACTCCACAAGCCAAGGACAAGAGTGAACATTCCGCGACATTTTCTAGCTGGAGAAGTTTGACAACAATGCGCCGCGTCATTGATGGAACAAAAAACTTACGAAGATTGATTTGAATCTTCCATTTGCGCCCAGATGAACATGTGAATTCATAAAAACGTGACTCAATGCCCTGATAAGTAATATAGCTGTGATATGGATGAGTGGGATTCGGAAATGGAAAATAGAACAACAATAAAGAAGAGGGAGGGGACAATACAGGAATGTAATGGTATGGTCTGAACAACAAGAGTAAGGCATTCAACTAAGACTTTTCAAAGAGAATTGATAAAACTCTAACCTCTCTAGGCAAATAAATGAATGCGCACAACAAATTGACCGGATAAGTGAATGAGAATTTTTTCCATACCTGCTGTGGTGCTCGACCTCTACTTGATCCTGGCTGCTTGTCTCTAGCGCGATCAGGTTTCAAACAACCGCTCCTATTGCTGCTTTCGCTATCCATAGCAACGCGGTCTGCAAATAAAAGTCAGCTCATTTACATAAAAGCATTCAAATCTTTGTCACCAAAGTATAAACATTCGTAACAGGACAGGATCAATTTACACATCGAGGTTTGACGGCTTACATAGTGCGAAATGACCAAATTCGCGATTCCAGTCTTGATGTCTTGTTAATAATGCACATTTGCCTAACAATTATTCGAACAGAAGGAGACATTATGATAATTCAAAGCCTGTTTCTGCATGATTCTGACAATAGAATAACTATTATAAACTGAAACAAAAAGGTGAATCATGAGTCAGGTACATCACCAACAAGATGTCTTTGCTTGAGATGCGTCACCAGGTCGATCAGGGTACCACTGTCTAATCCAATGAAAAGGAGACTCAGCCGAAGTAGCATTTTGTCAAAAAAAAGCTCCTCGAAACTTTGATCTTGGAGAAGCTTTCCCCACCTGCAATGCACTGCCTCAAAAGCACTAGCATAGCTATTTTCTACGCGTGTTTAAGGTAGCATCTAGTGGAAAAGCAATCTGCAAACAACAAAATGCTCTCTAAAACTATGAAGAGATAAAAAGACCGTTGAAAAAAAACCAAATAACAAAGAGAAACCAACATACTTTGGACGTTATTCAGACAAGTCTCGCATGCACCATTTCAAAAGAGAAAACGCTTCAAGTTATACAAACCCCATAGCGTTCCTTATTTCCCCCATGAAATCTACTGCACATTGAAAACGTATCAGTGTCCAACGATGTTGATTCCACCTATCGATTTGCATGATTTCTCAAAGCGCCACTTCGATCAAGCACCACTGCTTCGTTAAAAAGTTGAAATGAGATGGAAATGTTGTTCTAACATTGAAAATGAAAAGACTTGAGTTCTCGGTCTGGAGCACGAGTCTGAATTCTTATGCATGTAACCCCCGCAAAGACAAACAATGTGTCTGTCTGAATCGGGAAAGGGAAGACTTCTACTGCCGGTATGCAGGCAGAACGTAAGCAGCATTAGCACCAAACAATCCGCTGCAGTCAAAGGTTATCGCTGGCAGCTTTGGCGTCAGGAGCTGCTTTTATGCGAACTTCAGGGGAACCGCAAATGTACACCTGTTATCTTGCCCTGAGCTTATTCCTGGGAACTCCCAAGTAAATTTTTGTTTCTTTGCTTCTTTATGTCCACCATATGGGTCCATGCGCAACTGGTTCGTTTCCTAACTCACTGCTGCGCTGATTCTTGGAGCGCTTTTGTGCATCTTCAGTGCGAATGCCGCCGTTCTGTCCCTTTTCCCAAATTTCTCATCGAGTTTTCTTTGCCACTTGCTTTTCGCTAGACGCGACTACCACTCCCTGCGTCCGATGCTATTACAGCCTGAACAGCGCCAACGTTCATCCTGTCCCAATTGAGATCAGGCCGAACCTTTCGCGGAAATTTGCGCGCTCAAGCGCTAGGGGGTTCGCATCATACGCGCACTGTAGAGAGCGAAAAAATCGAAGAGGAGTGGACAAGCTAGCGTAGACGCGGCGCAAAACGCGCGGAGGCACGGAGTCCCGCCATGCCAATTTTGGCCTGATTAGGATTAAAACAGCTGTACCTCCCCCAAGTGGGAAGCCGCATAATGCTGCAGGTGGTGCCCTAGCCGTGATCCTATCGAATCCGGGTGAGATCTGCAGCAACGCGGTGAACGTAAGCAACCGCAGCAAGCACAAACACGGGCAAGGTAAGTAAGACCACACGAAGCGAATATACACCTGTATACCGATCGTACGTGTAATCAATCCGGAAAGTCGATCCAGATCGCTTTCTATTCCACTCAGGGTAATTATGAGCAATTATGGCTGGGTTCATACTGATTCGTGAGTTCCGGAACAGTTCCAGCAAGCGCACAATTCGAGCGCTGCGCTGAAACCGTTCCCGGACTTACGATCAGTATGAACCCCGCCTAGTTGCACATAACTACCCTGAAGAATGGAAATGCCTTTTGCCACATTGCCGCCTAGTACCCGGAGATTTCGAGTCGCTTCGCATATGTGATGATTTTGATTAGGTGCTAAAGGTGCGATGAAACCCTACCTGCCGTATGCGGCTATAAAAAATTTTGAGCCCTCTATCGTGCTCCGTCAACGACGTGCGAGCACGATAGAGGGCCAGGAATTTTCGAACAATCTTGAGCATAACCCGTTCAGATGATGAAACTTCGCGTTTCATGCGTGAAGAAATCCAAGCTTCCCAGGGGATAAAATGAGGATAGTGTGTTCGGAAGTACGGAATTTTTGTAACTAACCATCACCAGAGGCATCCGAATCCGAGTTAGCATCGAACAGGCGCTGCGGACGTTGCTGCTCGCTGGGGTCACGATTCCCACCTCCTGAAAAATGTGTGTCAATGAGAAGAACAAGTTATTTGCTAGCTATCTCCCTCTCTCTCTCGACCTGAATTGATTGAAAATGGCATTTGGAGCTCATAAACATAATATTTAAAATAGCGATGAATACAGATGACACTAGCTTTCTTACTGTGTTTTCTTGGATTCACAAAAAAAGAAGGCAACATGATAATGCTTGCTTCATGAATGATCCAATGCTTTGGAGCATGTGCACAAAGCCATGCACTTCAAAAGGTGATCAAACGCATTCGAGTACTAAACCCTCCCTCCCCCCCCCCCCCCTCCTCCTGTTCAGATTTCAAAAATTCAAGGCCTGTGGGCTAATTGATATGCTGTAGGTGAGGTCAAAAGTGAAGATTAGGTTAGGTTGAAGAGCCGGGCCCTAAGAATTACCAATTTTTACAGATCACGATTTGATTTGTCGCCAAACTTTAGTAGATTTGTGCAGAGTTAGATTGTGCCAAAATGAAAACTAGGAAACAAAAGTCTTCGGATGCCAAACGCAAACACCAACCTTCTCCACTCGAACTCGACGATGACGCAGACATAGCTGAAAGACCAGGCAGGCAAAACCCAGTTCGATGAAGCTCTGAATGATATCCTATCAGATATGCACTTGAAGCCAATGATACAACAACGCTATGACCTATCAAGTTGAATTCTAGACAACTTTATAGAAAGAACAAACACATAGACTGCATGTGAATCACAAGAGGCAGGAGAAGCGATTAATTCGATGAAGGACGACTTTCTAAGCGGCAAACGAGCGGAGGCAGAGCGAGCGGTACGCCGTCGCGGCTTTTCTAATTGCAGCATTTTTGTGATGCACGTGTCAGACAGTTTCCAATTATTTTCCAGAACACAGTGTTAGCTTCAACGCTGAACATTAGTAAACACGATAGAATGTTCAAAAGTAATAGTTTACTTCCCTTTTACATGGCTAAATGAGAAGTTCCGCTTTTCAAATATACACAGCCTGTTTAACAAGAACATCAAAAGCGAGTGCAAATGCTGGAAGGAAACTTAGTGCAAACATCAGCGCAAGTCGGTAAAGAAGCAGGTAACCACAGCCAATTCTTGAATCCGGAAAGGTCGCACTTTTGGTGCTCCAAAGCCACCGCCACGCAAACCGCACGCTGCGCTTCTGGACGTCTGCCGATTGCACGAGGCAGATTCGAATTTGTTTTCTTCTTTAGTTTCGTCGCCTGCTTATTCTTAACTTTCCTTGCAGAGCATCTTTTCGAATCTCAAACAAATGAGCAATGCATGTTCTAAAGCACGCTTGCTTCAGTCAGGAGTTAGAGAAAAAGAATGTGTTTGTAGCATTCGGATTGTCTCAATCATCTCTTGTTTGCAGAGTATTCCTGTTGACGTTTTTCAGTTTTTCTTTTTGATCGATAGAATATGCCTACATATGCAAAGTTCCTGTTGTGAACTGCATACAGTATGTATCCACCGCTTGCAGATGCGCGCTTGTTCAGTGATTGTTTTATGAATTAGTCCACATGGACATAGAGAGATGAGAACATATGAAACACGCTCAAAAAGTAGGGCTACATACCTTTTGATTCAACTGGATTGGCGGCTGGAAGGCGGGCTCGTGATCTGGTTGAGGCTAGAGAGTGATCAGAGAGTACGCGCGCGAGAGAAACGCAGACTGTGTCGCGGGTGCGAGCGGCCTCACGATCAGTTAGGTCACCTCACCACTCAAAGCTCCGCCTTCCAGGGCCCCAGTCCAGTTAAATCAAAGGTTACTTCGGAAGGGCGTTCATAATTGCTGAGAGTAGGCGAAATAGACGCAGCAAGGCCAGTTGAGTCCAATTCCTCCTGCAGAAGTCCGATTCCGAAGCGAGAAATTTGCTTCAGAAGATGGATGTGGTAGGGACTCCCAGCTTTATGAACGTGAATAGTGGGAAGGTACTGAGCCCAAAATGGGACTCCTGAGTATTTATGGAAGTCGAAAATCCGTTTCTTACTGTACAAACAGATTATCAAGATCTTTAGGTTTTTCGATCCTCACATTTAGTTTCGCGTCGTTACCTTCACACGACTCGTTGTTATATAGACTGGGCTGCTTCTTCCTCCTCGCCTTCTGCACTTTCTTGCTTGTATCTATTTTTGCACTGGAACCTGGGCAAGTACTTAGAAGTGCTTCGATATTGTGGATACATTTGATCTGTTTGGAAGGTGTCAAGGTGAAGTGTAAAGGGCCGGGCATACTTCACGCGATTTCAGTCGCGACGCGATTTGGCAATTTGCCATAACTCTTCGGATCCAACACTAGCAGACTGCACATGCATAGTGTGTATAACTTACCTAGATTGATAGAACGCCCTATCTTCTATACATTTAAAATGTGCCCTTAGTGATTTATGGATAGTTGGAATTACCAAATCGCGTCGCGACTGAAATCGCGTGAAGTATGCCCGGCCCTTAAGAAATGAGCAGATCCACCAAAAGGGACAAAAATCTGATCGCTTCGTCGTTGATCAATTCATTGAATTGATCAACAGAGAAGCGGTTGTCCATTGATCGGCTTGATCCACTTCGTCCATTTCACTATTAATCAGTTTACTGAATTGACAAAGCAGATCAAGCGGATCAAGTTCAGCATGCCATACTGATAACCTGGTACAGAGTAAAGTCTTTTTCTATTGTGCACCAAACCACGACTTTCTCTGCTTGATATTTTCGCAAGATTGGACTTTCAACTATCCAACTTTCAACTTGGTGTCAGGCGCAGCTAAGTCATATGCTTTATGAATTTCATATAAAATGTGCAAAATTTCAGTTCAACGGAATGAAGCTCTAAGCACAACGCCAACACAATGCCATCTTTACTACTGTCACAATGTATGCTGAGGACGGTATGTCGACGCTCAAGTTTTGCTGCAGCAGTACGGAAAGATAGGAAAAAACAAGTGATATCGGTATGATGACTATGAATCTCTTTCTTATAAGCATGAACACAAAACCCCCTACAGATTTAGCTCGATCAAAATGCAAAGGAGAATGAACGTGGCGATCGTGGGGGAGAAAGAGCTGATGGTGGAGGACGCGGCAGAGTCTTCTCTGCTGGATCCATTGCTATGCTTGTGAGTGTTCCCTTCTCCATGCATATCTTTTGTTTAAGAAGTCTCCTTTTTTATCTTTAAGTACCTACTTTGCTGCTTCTATATGCTATTTTTGTTATTCAAAGGTTATAGTGATCGAGTTTTTATGAGTATATGAGGCTTTCCGGGCTTATCATCAATTTGGTTAACTTTCGCGCTTATGCTAGTAGGTTGGCTCGAAAGTTCTCGGCATTTCCAGACTAAATCTGCTATTTTTCGAAACCTAGTGCATGTACATCTTCAAAAATTTGCAGCGGTACTCTCACTTGCCTGCAGCTGATATCTAAACGAGTGGGAGGAGTCTGGGATGATGGGGCGGAGTTTGCCACTTTCTTACATAGTTTTTCTTGTTGTCTGAGCTCAAATTCCACACCGTGCATCTAAGTATATGCGTGCTATTAATTGGAGCATGTGGACGTTTGGAGAAGTGGAGACCGGGTTAGGTCAAAAGCCTAGGCTTCAGAATTTCCGACTAAAGCATTAAACACATGTTATTGAACTATGCCAAGAAAACAATCGAGCCTGGATTCGTTTCATTTTTGTATCGAAACGATTTTCATCGTGCGGCCATCTTATATCCGATAATGAAGCTGAGTTGCTTCTTTGCCAAATCGAGTATTCCTTTTTGACTGCATCTAGAATATCTGCAAAAGTCATCCATCACCATCCCTCTTCTAGATTATTCCTGCCACCACATTTTGCCTCGGCTGTTGGCAAATGTATCGCCTTCGCTGGAAACTGAATCTGATTGAGCAGCTGAAGCAGCAGTTAAATGAACCCGCAGTGGATTTTCCGCTTGATGAGTAGGTGAAATATGCCTAACAATGATGCGCTTTTGGTCACTACCACAACCATTTAGTCTATCAAAGCTAAACAATATGGAATATCGACGAGTACGGCTCACAGGAGAGTTCCTACACGATAGAGAATTTCACATTGCTCCTCGTGGGCGATTTGATCCTGGTAATACTCGTTCCAATAGCTAAAACTGGTTGTCGTAAATTTTCGTTGAAGGCCACGAAGAGAAGAGTGCAGGCTCGCTGCTATCGAGCGACAATTTATCCAGCCACGGAGCTCATATCATAACACCATTTCGCATCGCTGGTTCCAAGTGGGTTTTAGTTTTCTGGGTCGTTCTTTCATTATCACTTATTCTCTCACACATCTATTTTAGTCTTATAGTAATGGTAAATCGGGGATGGGTTCCGGCATCTAAAATCTCAGCTTCATCACGTGCGGCGTCTCAACCGAAGGGAGTTGTAACACTAGAAGCTGTGGTTAGGAAGAGTGAAAAGGTGAAAAAGTCTTTGAAATCCAGTTTTATTATTATTTATGTTTTCAGCGTCCACAGTTTGTCAGTGATAATGTGCCGGAAAGGGGACTATGGTTCTATAAAGACTTCGACCAAATGGCTAAACAGTACAATACGGATCCAATTTACCTTGAAGCGGTTTACGGTAACAGTCTTCGCTCTGACATTCTTTTGACTTTGATGGTAAAAACGCTTTAGAGTCCACTATTCCTGGTGGCCCCATCGGTGGACAATCGAATGTGAACGTCCGGAATGAACATTTGCAATATCTGCTCACATGGTAGGCTCTAGCTCGAGAAGCACGCGGTTTTATAATTGATGCTTTCCAGGTTCTCTCTAAGTGCTATCACGTTAGCAATGTGGGCGATGCGATTTAGAAAATAGTGTATATTTTTTATGTGTTCAGTATTGATTATGTCCTACCTCATAAAGAGTTTCATCATTTGACATGTTGATATAGTTAGTATCTGTCTTCAGATCGTACTTATGTCCGTTTTTTATCATCTTCACTCGGATCTTTGTTTATTCTCACCTGTCTCATTTTTCGTATTGCTACGGCCTATGCTCCATGCGTTGTCTGTTGTTTGAGCCGTCAAATTTCTCAATTTTTCAGGGCAAGCTAGCATATTCACGAACCCAGAAGGATGTCCGCTTTGAGGTTTTCTGACATATTGGCGATCTTTATCACACTGCTTTCTACAGCATCGATATGCCTTGCGGAGGAACAGTCATATCCTGATGATTGGACTGATCCAAATGATCCCACCTATCACAATACTCATGCGCTTGGGCAGATTGCTGACATAGCAAACGGTGTACAGGTAAGCTAAGCCTGGTACATTTCTATAGTGTTTCATTGTTTCCAATAGCTGAAATTTGGCGTAGTTTTTCCAATCGTTGTATTTTCATCTCGCAAAGACTTCTTTGTACGATATCTGGCATTGCTTTAGACCTGCGAACACTATGACCCTACTCTGCGTCTGATACTCCGGCAAATGTTCCGAGAACTGGGTGTGGACATCTCAGAAAAAGCGTTCTTCTCTCGTAAAGCTACGTAAGTGCATTCTACTTCGAGTTCACCCTGCTATATGTTCTTCTTTTCTAGGGTGTCACTATCTTCGTTCAATATGAAAATCGTCGGCTCATATCTGGAGAGAGAAACCTTCGAAGATGAGCTTGCTGTACGGGAGCAAGTGCGTGGAGCATTGCATGGCATGATCACGGTGGTAAGTCCCCTACAAAGTCATTTTTTTCTCTAAGGATAACATTTATATGTAATTTTTTCCTGATTTCTTTCTTTTTGATTAAAGGACGACAAAGAAGATTCCACATCTATGTGGCAAAGATTAATCACAATTATACAACCATGGATCTCCCTTCTAAACATGATGATTTTACCTCCAGCAGTTTTCTTTATTCTGAGAAATGTCATGAGGTGCGTTCATCAAGAAATTTTTGATTTTATCCTGAAAACGCTACTTTTTAGTTCACGTTCTCTCCTCAGCTCTATTGTACTTTTGTTCTTCATAGTTTCGATGATTACGACTTATAACAGGATGTACCAGGTTAGTTCTCGTCATTCACTAGCTGTCGCTTGGATTGAATACCGTCAAATTTTTTTCATGCAACAACTACATGCCCTTTCCTAATGACATTAATGAATATTGCCAATAGTAATGGGTTTTGCCGTTTTGAGCATTCCTCAACGTTCCAGCATGAATCTATCAATTACTTCATCTAGTGCCTCTAGAACCATTCAGTCTTTTTTGGTTTAGCAGAAGCTAGCGCATCGCATCGCTGAAGCTGTGAAGAGGAAGGAGGATGCATGCGCACCAAGCACTCTATTGGAGCAGTCAGTCGAGTACCTTACCAGCTTCTTCACATTCCGCAAGAAGTCTTCGTGTGTTTCCTTCATTGAGGTAAGTAGTCTAATACTTCAAGCATGAGACCATCGAAATCATATGTTTTCCAGTCGCAAACCGTATCTATCGTTGCTGAAATCTCGCTTCTCGATGTCTTCTCCGATGTTTTATCCAACTCCTTATTTGGAGTTTTGGGAAATCTTGGTCGTCATACGAATCGCTTTTTCCGCGAGTTTTTCGACGGTGTACCTATCCCTGTCATGCTCCTTATGGCGATTATATTGGTATGTCAGAAATGAAAATTTGTGGGTTGTGAATCATCTAAGTTTTGCAGATCTTCTCGACTGTGCGAATCAAGACTCCTTTGTTTACTTTTGAACCACTGCGTAAGCTTTTTGAAGTGGCTGATATCTTGCTAGAAATATTTTTCTAGTTCTCACAAGCTTGCGACATGCCACCACTTCAATGATTCAGTATATAGACGGTCCAAGTCATGGTACTCGAGCAAATGCAGTAGAAGCTCATAGACCTTTCATTCAAGGTTCTAATTAAATGTGTTTTGTAGCTTCGCGGTTTATCTTTGTTTTTAGTAGGAGACGAAGACATGCAAGCTTCAGACAATCACGCCATAAACAGGTAAACACGAAATCTTGTGCAGAGAGTACATGAGACTTCCTTTATCTTGCTTACAGAGGAAGAAATCCGCTGCGCCATCGCAGGGCGAAAGCCACGGCAATCCCAGCAGTCTCTTCTGCGGATACACCCTTGCCTCGAGAGAGTTCGCTGGATTCTTCACCTAGTTTGTCATCAAGCCGTTCGAGGAGTTTGCCAAGATAATACCAAAGCATTACTCTTATTTGTACGTTTTACATGGATACTGTGTTTGTAATTCAATAATTCAATTTGCCATGATAATCATTTTCGTCTCATGTGCCCTAGTCTTTTTTATGCATTGCAGAGCATGAATTTTTTTTTCACTCTACAATCTTACCATTCACCAAGAACTGAAAAATGCTCTGAATGATTTGCTGCTTCGTAGGAAATTTAGTGTATGTTTATGCGGTTGTACTAGCAGGTCATACCCTATTCAATGCTTACCACACCTTTACAGCAGGCTATGGAGTCTCCACCCACTTCGGTGCTTACTGTGGCCCTATACCAATGAAACCAGTGGTTAGGCTTGACCTTTGAGATTGGCATTCACGAAGCTAGTGGGGTGGATCCAGCAGAACGCTTTTTGTGAATATCGATCCAACCCACTGGCACTGTTTTTCACTTATTCACTGGGTTGTTGATGAAGACGGGCACTGGAGTCTTCTTTGTTAGGTTCTTATTTCCTCTCTCTCTCTCTCTCTCTCTCTCTCTCTCTCTCTCTCTCTCTCCCCCACTCGCCTAAGAACGCATACTTTCGACACAGAGAGCCTATACACTGGTAACCTTCACTTTAAGCCCCATGAGAGAAAATCTTCACTAAAAAAACAAAAGTCACCCGGGGCAAAGCCACGGATATTACGATCATAACTAAATTGGGATGAATGTGAATGAAGCAAGTATAGTAAAACTGGAAATAAGCTCGGTAACAAATATATTCGGGCAGTCTCCTTAGACTGGCCTTATGTACCAGGACGAAAAGAAAAGTTAGACCCAGAACATGACAAATATGTCTCACAAGGGAACGATACTCAGTGTCTGTGCCTTTTGAGATGAAATGTATACCAGTACACTCGCCTTCGAACGCTGATTCCAAATCTGGTTTCCGTTTCTGCTGAGCATTTCTTTGAAAGAAGTTATGAAGGATTTACGCGCCAAATTTGGCCGCGTGAGGCACATACGATAGGAACACCAACATGGTAACATGTTAACATGCATTCATTTTCCGTTCATTTTCATTTTTATAGGCACCTCTTGGAATAAATATAGGTAACACTCGTATGAATCCTCGTTAAATTTTCAACGAATAAGTACATGCATTTACCTCGACGAAATCTGACTCTCTAAAAGCTTAATAGCTTTCAAAAAGAAGCTTAATTGAGGCAATGCGAAACTGGAAAATACAAAAGAATCTGAACCTACACCTGCATCGGCTTGTGAGGCTAACGCACTAGCCACTACACCACAACTACGGGCGGTATTGGTGTTCCTATCTATCTCTGGAGGGCAAATTTGGCGCGAAAATCCTTCATAACTTCTTTCAGAGAAACGCTCAGCAGAAACGGAAACCAGATTTGGAATCAGCGTTCGAAGGCGAGTGTATTGGTTTACATTTCATCTCAAAAGGCTACGGACACTAAGTATGTTTCCTTGTCAGTCGAACTGAATTGAAACATCATCAAACCAAAGATTAAACGATACACAACGACGTCAATCCTCCACTGTCACAAAAGGCAGTACAGGCAAAAAAAAAAAGAAGCTGGCTCGATCATGCGTTGTCAACAAATACTGGATGACATAACTTGAGTCAGCCGAGAAGCGGGATCTAAAAAAGAAACCGAGAAAAGCAACTACGAACTAAAGAGAAAGCTAAACTCCCAAGCATGTCGCAGATGGATGGCAAGAAAGAAGATGTAAAGCAGTCAGCGGAATTTAACCATTTTCTGAAAAAAAAGGAGAAAAAAAAATGAATTGAAATAAACGAAACACACATCTTGTGAACGAGATTCTACATCTAAAAGTATTCAGACTCATCAATGCCTAACAATCTCAAAAGGTCGCTCCAAAAGCTTTTTTTTTTGAACAATTTTGAGTTGACTGAAGAGATGACAGAGTCAGGCAGTTTCTGCATTCAACGTGCAGTATGTACAGAAAAGAAGTTGTAAAAAGACTTCTTCAATTTTGTTGACCCTATTGAATCAGCACAGTAAAAGTTAAACCTACCTGTATGTCCGTAGCAAGGCTTCCAAACCCAGAATTCACTAGGCAAAAGCTTAGTCTCAAGACGTATTATTTGGAAGGCAAGTACAAGATCAGCAACAACTCTTCGGTAAAGCAGGCTATGGAGCTTGAAGCGATCCAACCTATTTCTATAGGACGGGAGGGCAGCTGGGTAATCGTCGTTAGGGAGTAAGTAAGTAGGATAAGTCTATAGAAAAGGATACGAGTGAAAGTCATCTGAACTCTTTCCAAAGTCAAGATATCCTTTTTTATACAGAGTGTCCCAAAAAGATGTGCACACTGTTTGATTGTTAATAACTCTCTTGCTTTCATATCTTTTGTCGAGCTTGAGGTACCATTCTGTAGAGCGAGGATGAACTTAGATTTACAGTATGGAGCAAATCACCAATCACTCTTCGTTACTGTAGGATTACGGTATGAACTTTCAGCATACAGCGTTACTGTGGAACAGACCCTCTGATAAAATAATTTCAAAAGAATCTGAAAATTTGTGTGGCAAGATTTTCAGGCGTGCTGATTTCACTGCATGACCTTTTGCCAGTTTTGCGAGCTTTCTTGATGGCGTATTCGCATTTCTGACAAACATTTGAAAATCAGTTGTTACCCTAAATTTGAGATAACTTATGAAAGGAAACAATGTACTGACGTGCACTTTTCATATTTGGAATCAGCAACTTCGATTGACCCCGTTCAAGAGTTTCTGGCTTGTTTGGCTTTCTTTCCAAGGCAAAATATCTCTTCCAATGGCTTAAAATCCTCCTCGAAATTCCTACCGTAATCCTACAGTAATGAAGGGCTGCTGATAAGTCGCTCCATACTGTAAATCAAAGTTAAACCTCGCTCTAAAGAACAGTACCTCAAGCTCGGCAAAAGACATGGAACCAAGAAAGTTATTAACAATCAAACAGTGTGCACATCTTTTTGGGACACCCTGTATATGGATTCCAGACTTGGCTAGCATATTCTAAATGTGGGAGGACATAAGCCATATACATTCTGGTGTAAACTTCTCATCAACATGCTTCAAGCTACGTAGCAAGAGGAAGAGTCTGCGCAGGGCTGTACATGCTATTCTTCGCGGTTTTCTCGTTCACTCGAATAGTTGCCTCTATCATGATGCAGACATGGTCGCAGAGCTTATTTCTCGATCATCTCGGATTTTGCGAAAAATCGTAAAAAATGCGTTTTTCTTAAACTTGTTCTCTTCCAGTGTTTTCGCAGCAAATTTCACCAGTTTGGGCGATTATTGCTCAGAATAATGAGTACAACAATCCAGACAACGTCCCAAGAAACATGAACGAATCTGCTGGAGTAAAACTTCAAAACAGCACCAAAAACCGGATTGGCTTTAACGCGCCTTTCGACTTAGTATTAGGTCGTAACATCAAGTCTTGTTACCCTGTAACTTCTAACGACGATAAGTCGTACACTTCATATTTTTAGAAAGACTTTAGGGATGGAACAGAGCAAGCTCTACAGACGTGTGCTCGGCTTCGACACACAGTAAATTTCATCCAGAATCTGAGTCATACTGAAAACTCAAAAAATTGGTAAAAAATGCATATCTTCATTCAAAAGAATCTGTCGAGACGCAGATAATGATGATATCAATGCAGCGTAGAAGGGTGGGCTCTGTCCGAGCGGAGGACGAGTTTTGCAGTGATTGTAAGGATAATGACATGGTGGGAACAGTAGAGCTTAAAAAATGTCGAGACGCAGACTAAGAGATGGTCCGACAGTCCTCATCCCAACTGGGCTCTGCCCAGCAACTCCAGATGAGCTGTGCCTAACCGGGTGACCGGCGGCTTCCCTTCCCCTCTTTTTATTATACCTTACATGCTTTGAACGAAGCGTTGTCTTTGTCTACTCAACAAAGAGCTTTTGCAACTTTTGGGAAGGCTGAAAGTTTGATTTACAATCGGACCACACTAGATGGAGTTACCATTCCTGCGGGGAGATCGTCTTTTCATTAAATACTTAACCTTTGATAATTATCCAATTCGCAAGCTTATTTTGCTCTGCTTATTCTTCAGCTCGAGACGAGCTCTTCTTTTGGCAGGGCGTGCGAAATCCGCTTTTTCCTATGAGCCCTTTTCTCCCTGTCCACATGATGTTGCCTTTGATTTTTTATGAGTGCTGTAACGACGAATCTTCAAAATGCCAAAATATTTAACAATCTGTCACATTTTAATTTGCATTTGGAATAATCCACGTATATGTATTTCTTCAACATTTATGACAACCCATGGCCACACATCCAGGCTTTTCAACTTTTAAAGACAGTGGCTTGGCAAATCTCAACCTAGTCAAATTTTTGCTTACCTGGGGTTATTCAGTACGCTGATCCCGAAAATCCTCTTCAGAGAGCTTGAAGACGGCGAAAACCTGCATTTTCCGATGCCCTTCCTTTTGAAGTTGGACGAGTGGAGCAAGGCTGATGACGCTGAATCGTTGCAGGACCCAATGGTTATAGCGTTGCGGCGGGCAGCCTCCAATGGTGGGAAGTAAATTGCCAACTCGACCGGGCGCGTGTAAGATTGCCTTGCGCGTGTAAGTATGAGAGCAGTTTTCTCGGCAAGGAAGGCATGATGTGCAACGAGGATTGCACTGTTTTCATACTTGGGCGATAATGAACCTACTGCGTCAAAATCCTGCGCTGTTAAGTTTTGCCGATCCACTGCCTTTAAGTTATGCCGTTCCTACCATGCTGTTTTATCCTCATCCCAAGCATTGCAATACTCGTTCCCTCCGCTCGGGTAGAGCCCACCCATCCAAGACGTTCTGATATCATCATTATCGCATTCTTTCGTCCCTAATTGCGTAGCCCTACCCCCAGTTTGAAAACCATCCCATTTCCAAGCACATTTTGCTGCGCTTGATTCTCAGCTCGAAACAAGCTCTTTCTTTTGACAGGGCATGCTAGAGCCGTGTCTTTCTAGTAAGCCCTTTCCCCCCCCTGTCCTTATTCGCGAAGAGTGATCCAGCAACGAAAAGCCCACTGAGCGATCAACAACATAAACCCTGCTCAACCGAAGTAACAACAACAAATGGTTTATGGGCTGTCTTGAT